CTTCCTGGCACGGGTTTTGGCGGACTTGTTCTGCTTCTCGTCGCGATTAGGGGCCTTTTGTACCTTGAACGTTCGAAGCCCAGCCTTAGTTTTGGCCTTCTGGACAAAACTTCGGCTTAGGTGCAGCTTCTTAGCCACATCCCTAACGGAGGCGTTCGGATTTCGGTTGAAGGCCCCAACTACGCGGTTGTGATTTTTGGTGTTGTACGGAATACTTTTTCCTTCACTTCTGGGCTTCCGATCGGTGGTCAACCGTTCCTCGAACCGCTTAATCACTCGCGACACCGTGTAATTCGCGATTCCCAACGTTTTAGCGATGGAACGATGCGAGAGATCCTTGTTCTCGTGATGAATGCGCAAGATTTTATCACGCACGAGCTGTTCTTTCGACTCCATTTCCGCGAGTTTTGATCACAGGACTTTAAAACTTGCAGGATGTAAATAATGCACTATGAACTAAATGCACCCAGATTTTCATTACATTCTACCCAACGGTTAAAAAGTTAGAGCAATTTCATAGTGTGGCAATTTCATCGTGGACACCCTTTAGGGGCAACTATCACCTTTCCGAAAGTGGTATTGGTTTGCGTGGGCGTACTTTGGTTCGCGTGTAAAGGGCCTTAGAAAGTTTGTTTACAAATGCTTTTGTGCCGTTATCAAATGTTATGCCTGAATTGAAACATTCAGCAGTCACGCGTCAAACGACAGCAACACGGAAACAGCAGTCTGGTACACTTTGGACGTGTATCATACTTGAAGACCGGTATGAATGTGTGAGTTTAAATTAGAAGAACATTTGTGATGTATGAGTGCCTAAAGCGTGCATTTCTCGCTGTGCACTTAGATATCTGATTGCAGGCAAAGAGAGTGATGGAGAAAGAGAGCAAAACCTCGCTCTCATTCTCTTGTCAGTTGTAAATCTCTCAATCAAATCTCTTCGATGGTTTCGCCGGTGCGCCTGTCAAAACTTATGAGCTTCCCTGGTTCATTCTGATAGTGTTGTTCTGATGAATAAAGAGTTTGCTACCCAGGGGCTTCATAAATTTTCTCTAGATTTTGACACTGTTTTGTATCTTAAAATGTTTTCGGAAGTGTTTGACGGATATTCTTCACTACACTTCAGTCGAAAGAGTTAGCCTTGTGATAAAAACGAGAATTAGTTAAGTTTTGAAATTCCTCCTAGTTCGGTTAGCGCGAAAAGGACCATACAACTTTTGTTTACACAAAAAGATAGACCCTTCAAATGTTACGTTAGGTAGTGATTAATATAGTAATTGAGAGAATTGAGAATATGTCCCTCAAATTCATGGAGCATTTAAAAAAAAACAAAAACTAATATGTGGTGGTAAACTATAACGAACAAAGTTTTGTGCACAGGTCAACAAATGAGGCACGCGACGCCTCTGCTCTACTTGTTGTTGGGATAATCACATTAATTTGCAAAAATGGATAGTGATCAAGCAGGTATTGAAATATGTACTCCACATGGCATCAACTTATTTCACTTAGTTTTGACTTCGTAGAGGCAGTTTATGAAAATCTTGTCTTCAAGTGCTGTTTAAACAATAAAATAAATGTATCGTGATAAAAAAGTTGACTTATCCTGTAATATCCTGTAAAGCCGTATATGAGGTATTATATGTAGATATGTATAGAAGATTATAGCAAAAAATCAGCTGCGATTATTTGCGATCTTTCGAGAAATTGGAAAATGAAGAGGGCGTGTCCATATAGGTGAATTTATCAAAAAAAAAGTACACAAATGCAGTTATTGACATTTTCATTTATTATATGGCAGTCAAGGCGGCAACCTAGGCAGGCCTTGTTTTGGGAAGGGGGGAGGGGGGCTTCGCCTTTCAGGTATATTTTTCTTGTTTCATAATTCCATCAGGTGCAATGCAAACATAGTTTGACAAAACTCAACTCAAAACAACTTAAGAAAGAAATTGGGACTCCTTGTGGATTTTCCAAAACTAGGCTTTGGAAATTCGGATGGCAACACTAGTCCAAGATTCTTTGCTGATCCGGAAAACGCTGCTCAAATAACAGGCTAGATTTTAATTTGATCTACCGGCTTAAAGTTATATTGGAGACACTCACACTTAATCTAGCTCGGTAAAATCTCCAACAGCCGATTACCTCGGCATTTACTTTTGCTGATATATCTGCAAAATATCTGTTTGTTAGCTGATATCTCAGCAAAATGATATTTGTTAGCTGAGTCTCGGCAATTGTTTTACTGGATCTCAGCAAAATAAATTGCAGAACTGCTCGGCTGTTGGAATCTCGGCGAAAAAAATTTAATTGTGCAGCTTATTCTCACAACTGCCCTATTGGTAGCAGTGCATGTTCTAACAGACAAGAATGCCATATGAAAAGAGCTAATTTATGATTTTAGTGGTGAAATGAAACAAATCAATACAAATTGAACCATCTTCTTATATCATCGAATGGCAATAATAATATTTTGGTTTCTTCAGTTACGTTTTGCTCTTGAGTTTGATTATCCTTCAGATTATTGCTTTGAACATAGTTGTGCAATGATGGCTTGTCCTGGGCCCGTAAAAAATGTTTACTTTCCCGTGTATCTCTTACGGGGTAAGTAAAGTAAACTGCTGAAATTGGAAATTAGTCAAATTGCATGATATATTACATATTAAGCTTTAATGCATTTAAGGCCTTCGAAAGACGTCCAAAGTTCTCCACTGTACTCTTTTAAGCTAGTACATCAAATTGCACATTTTGCAGTACTAGCTGCGTATACAGTATCTCACCACTCCGGTTCTCCTTAATTCGACATCACGGTCTCTTATGGAGCTTTTTATGCATTGGTAACATTTAATTGTATGGACTTGACAGTCAGATTATCAAATGTTTCGGATTAGCGGTGGGATACTATAATAAGTACACGCATACTCGCTGCAAAACCATTCTTTTTTTGTTCATCATCGACGATAATAGCAATAGCGTCGAAATCACCGATAGTATCCTCGCTCAATTCTCATTTGTTTCAATTAATTCGATGACAATCACATATTTTTGTTTTACAAATCATATGTTTAAACTTTTGGTTCTGTTCTGCTCAAAGACACACGAGACTACAAAAAAAAACAAGTTTCAAAAAACTGATTATGAATTGTGCATTCGATTTTTCGCTGGCATCACTGGAAGCTATTTCATTAATGTTAATTTTGACGTCGGACGCGCGTTCCGGTTTGGTGGGCGCGCTACAATGAGATGAATTTTAAGCTTGGATTTTATTTTTTGTACATAATTTCCGCATTCGCCCTATTCAGATAAACCTTTTGAAACTTGTGAGTTTGACAGAACCACCAACACCAAATTGTCGAGGTACACGGAGTTACAGGAGTTGTCAAGTTGGCCCCGGGTTGGTCGGAAGTTTCAGCAATGTTAGTAAATCTGTTCTTTTAGTACCCTTTTTTATTGCTATAGTTTTAAGCATAAGGAGTCAAATGAGCTTTTGATCATTACTCGATTACTTTTTCAAAGGGACGTATCAGCTTTTGTGAACAATGCGTTTCATCGTTGGTTTGGCGTAACTGGTAGCTCGTCCACGCATACCAACACCACTATCAGTTAGGGGAAAATTTCGATCAAATGCATTGTTTAGAAAAGCTGGTATGTCCCTTGAAAAAAGTAATCGAGATTTTTTATAAAATAGATCTTTTATTTGGCTTAAATGTTACTAAAATACGTTCAGTCCGAAAATAGCTACAACAGTTTATTTTTTTCCGATAAAACATTGCCTTTTGCTGACACAAACATTTAATTTTTTGATTGCTCAAAAAAATAAGTAGTGTTGATAAATGCCAAACTTTAACATCAGTTAAAATGAAGTTAAGATTTGTGGATTAACTGAAAAAAATCTTAATTGTTGATGGCAGTTGACATAGTCTTTTAAAAGAAATATGAAAATTTAATCAATTCTCGACAAACATTTTTTTTTACGTCTGGTTGAAAAATTGTTGAGCAAAATTGAAGTTGAGACAGTTGAGACGACCGCCAGGGAAGCACAGATTTATTTTGTTCAATAATAATGCATATCAAACATGATTAACTTAGCACATATTCAATTTAAATTTCTACCGTATGTACCGTAATAAAATCCCATATAATGAAGTGAGTTTAAACGACGTCGTCCACCATATTCAAAAAGTTACTAAGGGGTTGTTCCAAAAACTACGTAGACACTTTATTGGGTTGCTGTAGTTCCCGAGTGTCTACGGTCCATACCAATTTCCAATAAACATGTATGGACGATTGTCTACGCGGGGAGAGGTGGTCTAAAACATCCCAATAACGGTCTAGCTATGTAGTTTATGAACAGCCTCTAATCAGTTATGCTCTATTGCGCACTATCCTGCTGTTATGACAATACTCATGGCCGTAATTTTCAATCCTTTTTCTAATGTTGTCATCCCTTCCAGTTTCACATTGAATACATAAAAGATTTCTCGATTACTTTTTCGAAAGGGACGTATCAGCTTTTCTAAACAATTCATTTGATTGTCGATTTAGCGTAACTGGTAGCTCGCCCACGCATACTAACACCACTATGGTTGGGGAAGATTTTCCCTATCTGATGGTAGTGTTAGCATGCGCGTGTGCGAGAGCTGATACGCCCCTTTGAAAAAGTAATCGAGATTTGTTTAGTAATTATTACCTTATATTTCACAACCCGATACATAACCCCTTATCGTTTCTCACCTTCAGCTTTAGTATGTCGGATGCTCGGCCTACGTAGTAAACTAATCCTTCTCTTCTTCTGCCTGTTCCTAGCAGCAGTTTTAATCCAACCCAAAGTAGCCAATAGTAAAACAGTAACAAATGCATCGCCCCAAACACAAATAAAAATTCACCACTGTTATTTATTTTTCTTTCTTTATTTCCATTTCGAATATCGTTCTTCGTGTTATGGTACTTTGCGCGTGCTATCTGAAACAATTCCCAATGTAATAACAAACAAACAAAAAATGCAGGCAACGCAAAATATTGTCGGCTTACCGGCTGGTGTACAAATTGTAAATGTTAGACCTGGCGCACCACCCACGCAACAACAAGCACAGCAAAAAACTGTTGCCGCTGTATCACCTAGAGTTGTTATTGGTAGTCAGCAAATAGTTAGTTCTAGACCACCAAATGCAAACGCTGTAAGAATTTTTCCAATTTTTACTGTCTTTTCTTTTATGTTTTTGTTTCGTTTTTTTTTCTTCTTTCGTTTCATTGTTTTCTTTTTTGTTTCATTCATTGTTTCCTGTCGGTTATATGTTTTCTTTTATGTTTTGTTATGTTTTCATTCTTCATTGAGCACAATCACGGCATTGATTAATTAATTTCCCCCTCCCAATGGAATGGAAACTAAAAAAAAAAATCAGTATTAATCCTCCACTGTGGCATTATCGCTAGTAATTATTCTGGACGACTGTTTCTGAATCTGAATTAATTAATCAATTAACCTCTTATTTACCATTAACATTTTCTTCTAAGTTCTGTTAATTTGATGTTTTTTTTTGTTCTGTGGAAAATCTGTTTCGATAGATGTATTAATTGTCGTTTTTTTCCCCTTCCGCCGATGCAGATCACACTAAGTGCCCTTCAAGGACAGCCGGGCTCGACGCTGCTACTGAAGAATGAGCAGGGCCAGTTCCAGCTGCTGCGGATCGGACCGGCGCCGACCGGTGCCCAGATAACGCCTGCTAACCTGACCGCCACGTCGGGCGGTAATCAGACGATACGGTTGCAAACTGTACCAGCTGTAAGTAGGTTTACCGGTCCTCCATTAGCCCTCCGCAAGACCATAGTCACCACGCAACAGGTGAAACAGAAGCAAAATGTAATTACCAAAAGTCTTCCATCGTTGGTTGGCCTGTTTCAAGATATACTTTACTACCTTCTATTTTATTGTTTTCATGATTTTCGTTCTATATTCTTCTATGTTTCAAATGTTTTAGTTGTTCCCTGGTTTTCTTCATTTTCTAGATGATTTGGTTTGTTTGAAACGTTTGTTGATGCTGTTTTATACTTCCGTAAAATGATTTACTTTTTGTAATGCTTAAAGATCATTTATTGTTCGATTGATGAAAAGCGGCAATTGGAACTTCTTGTATTGTTATTGGGGTTTCTCAGAAAACACACACATCGGTCAGAATAGTTTTTGACACGATTTTTCCGGATATCCCAATAGTATCTCCTTGATAAAATTCACCGAGGAAAACGAGCATGGAATCGTTTCCGTCTTCTTCTGTTTGCTTCTCCCAATTTTCCGCTACAGTGAAACTAGCTTTCACATGTTGTTTCTCCTGTTGAGTTGCTGATTTTTCCTCCTGACATTTTTTCTGTTGATTCCCCGTTTTGTATGATCGTTAGTAGTTTTGCAAGTCGCATGCAGCCGTTCGGACGTGCAATTAATACATCTAACAATGTACCCTTCCTTTTTGAACCGTTTTCTGCATCGCCGCCATCCTGCCAGCAGCCCATTTCATCCGGTTCTGGTACGATTATCGTCAATTCGCAATCCATCACCACCACGCCAACCAGCTATGTGACGACGCAGTCGACCCCGGTAGCCTCGGTGGCACCTGTTCCGGCGCTGGCCGCCCAACAGCACATAACCATCTCGGCAGCAGCAGCCCAGTCACCTGCTACGGCCATGGCTACCGGTCAACCTACCGTAGTCTCCACCCAGCAACCGCAAACTGTCGTGACCCATCAACCACAGCAACCTCAACATCCTGGCCAACCAGCGACGCAGACCGTGGTCGTAACGACCACGACCGGTGGCCAAACCGCCCAGCAGCGCAACTCGTTAGATAATACCAAAGAAAAATGCAGGAAATTTCTCACCAATCTGATTGAGCTGTCCAAACGGGAACCGAAACCGGTGGAGAAGAACGTCCGAACGCTGATCCAGGAGCTGGTGGATGCCAACGTCGAGCCGGAGGAGTTTTGCGAACGGTTAGAACGGTTACTGAATGCCAGCCCGCAACCGTGTCTGATTGGTTTCCTCAAGGTTAGATCCTGAGTCCACCCACGAAGTTGCGCAAAGCTAATTGTTAATTTTTTTTCTATCACTAAACCTACAGAAAAGTCTACCGCTCTTGCGGCAATCGCTCGTTACGAAAGAGATCACGATCGAAGGCATTAATCCGCCCTCGGCAAATGTGGCCTTCTCCGGCTCGCCGCTAACGCAAATACCTGTAAGTGTTGAACTAGACTTATGGAAGGGTTTATTCAAAATGTGTCCTACTTTGCATTTATGGCGACATGTTGTGGATAAACTCTTCAAATTTTTCTACTTTTTTTTAGCGGCAAGCGATCAAAACTTTGAAGAATTATAACTGTAATCGTTGTTTTCTAAATTTGGTGAATAATGGTGCTTACTCTTACGAGTCAAAGTCACAACCGTTTTACTTGGTTGGTGAACATTGTCCAAGATTAATCAGTTTGTCTTACGATGGGGAATGGTTTAATGATTTTTTGTTTGAAACAATTATTTTCCATACTGGGTTGTTTAAAAGTTAGTCCAAATATAAAGAATAATACTAATAATAGTAATTGGAATTGATACCTACCTGATGCATAGGGTAAATGACTATGTTGGCCTATGAATCTAAAGATTGATCCCATCGATGAAAATTTTCTGTTTACATTTTTTCTTAGACGAATGCGGTATCCGGAATATTTGGTTGCTAATGAATAATTGACAAATAATACTACCGGAATTTATGCATGGGCTAGGAAAACTAAAAGGCCGACATTAGAGACATCAACCCTACATCGAAAAAAATTGTGATAGGCCTACCCTAAAAGCAAAACAAAGCATTATATTTGGAAGACAAACGGTATTGGGAAATCATCCGATAATTATTAGACTGAATAGTTCATTAGTCCGAATGATTGAAAGTTTAAGAATTAACATAGAATTTATCTTCAAACGCTCAAGTCTATGCAGTTGAAAACAAGTTAACCAATCCTAAGCAAAGAGATGAACCACACCTCTATACCTAAAGCTAAACTAAACCAAATCGAAGAGCAAATGTCTTATCTCTTAATTAAATTCCTCATGTTATATCTATCAATTTTGTTTTTTTTTTAATAAAATATCAAATTTCAGAGAACCACCATGAACTACGGAGTACTAGTAAAGGCTTGCTGGAGCACGATTTAAAAATCCGGCAATCTTAAAAAAATGATTGATGCTGTAATAAAATGGAGCAACCTTAAGGCGATACGATCCAGCGTCCACAAACCATAGGCACTTGCACTGTGCAGGGCTGTTACTACAGGCGCGGATTTCGCGAATTTCACGATTTTCGAGGATTTGTCGCGGATTTGAACTTTCAGTCGCGGAAATCGCGGAGATACTGATGTGCTGTCACAAAAATTGTGGAATTCATTGTAACCTTTCCATCTCGGATTATTTTGCTGTCATCAATTTTCTTGTTCACATGGCTCTCAACTTTTTACCGGTTCAAACCAAACACCCTGCAAATAATCGAGAAATGATCTCAATTCCATAAGTCACACCGGACTTACACGGTTTAGTTTAGTTTAATTTTCTTTATTAACAAGACTTTCAGCGGACTTACACGGAAATTCCCTGAGGTTTGTCTAATGTGAGACATTTTCCTTTTTTTCCAATAGGAACATAGCACTTTTCGTTGTCAATCATAAAGTAATCGTATATATGCGAGTAATTACCATGTGTACCGGATATTCTAGGTTCTCCAAATCGTCCTGGATCATGCCAACCTATTTCCGTGTATGTCAAATGTTCTAGGATTTCCAAATCGATATTTTGATATTACAGATATTATCCTAGTCTTTGTTGATCTAGTAAAATAAATCATATGAACTGCAGGACGATTTGGAGAACCTAGATCATCTGGTATACGGGAAAATAATTAAACATTATCCATATAGACACTATGAGTCTGTTTGGACATATTTCGATACTACAGACTTTATTCCAGTCATAGTTGGTCTAGTAGAATAAATCATCTGAACTCCAGAACGATTTGGAGAACTTAAAAACATCTGGTATACATGACAATAGTTAATGCATGATCCACATCATTTGTAATAATGTTTCATCAAATCTAGTCCGGTCCGGGTTGGAAAATTTCTCTGTTTTCTTGGGCGTAGGATGGTACAAGTATAGAAAGCTCTCAATTAAAATGTGAGAGTACTTCAAAGAACACTAAGTTGAGAGCAGGCAAAAATCTAATATTCTATAAGCAGTAAGCTTGAAAAGCCATGTAGTAGTATACAAATACTACTTTTAGGCAATGAAAACAGTTTTTTTTGCCGCGGATTAGTATTTGAAGTCGCTGATTTCTTTTGAGAAATCGCGGAATTCGCGGATCAAATTTAGAAAATCTTGTAACAGTCCTGACTGTCACGCTCGGACACTGTTGCGATTTCAGGCATTACATTTGCATCATCATATTTGCTGCGTCGCAGCAAACATGGGGAAACAGTTTTGTTTTCCGGTAGTCCGGTAGATCCGGTAGTGAGCACAGGGTGTCGATTACCTGGAAAAACCTGGAAAATCAGGGAATATCAGGGAATTCTTTTTTGGGCCTGGAAAATCAGGGATTGCCAGGGAATTCCATTCAAAGTCAGGGAGATATTTCTTTATGACAGAAACATATTAATAAGTATGGCTGACTTCGTTAGTTTTAACCAACTTAATTACTCGTTGTAGTTTGAGGATGGTTTTCAATTTCAAAATTTGAATAGAGTTGCGAAAGTGTGGTTGTTCAATGCTTGATGTTGCAGTTTTGCAAGTGGAGCAAAAGATACTCAAATAAAAGGGTATTCGATGATTTTGAGCCTATTATAAATTCAGCTCCCACTGGGTGATGTCACATTCCTGAGTTGAAACGAGATAAAAATTCAGTTCCGTAGAGACGCTAGACGTTGTTCGTTGTTGCAAAATTGAGCTGCTTATGGGCATGTGCGTCTCTTAAAAGATGTTATACCTAATTGCGTCAGACAAAATTTAACCTTCAAGTAGATTCTGCGTCTGCTCGATCCAGCTGTGTCCAAAAAAAAAAAACAATCCCTTGAGCGCATTGGAGCGCTTTTGAGTAAATGCTAGAATGATTAAGAGTTAAGCTGGGCTTGGATAAGGCAAGTAATTGATCAACTCATTTGAATTCAATTGGCTTGAAAAATTGAGCCTGGTCCATTTTTTTTCATTTAAGTCAGTTAAATGGCATAGTTTAGTTTAGTTTAATGAGAATTCCATCCAATGTTCAGAAGAAATTAGAGGAGCATTCCAAGATAATTCTGAGCAAAATTTGCCAGATGGTGTTGGCAGGGAAGGGGTATTACAAGTTTTGCTCACAAAAGCTAATAGCCCCTTTTCAATTGTTGGTCTGAAGTAAATTCTACGGAGAATTTCATGCAAATTAAAAAAAAAATGAAGCTCCAGTGAATTCTTAGAAAGAGTTTAAAATTCGAAGAAAGGATGAATTTTAAGAATTTTTTCGAGTGTTCTACAGATAATTTCTGTACTATTATATAAACAATTTCAAGGGATTTCCAGAAAGAATTCTGGAGAGATCTCTGTGAAAAGAAATTAATCTAAAGGAAAGGCTTGAGAATAATTAAATAAAAGTCTGTAAAGTTTTGCACGAAATTTTCGTACACAAATTGTGAAGACTTCGAACCCTGCCGCAGATCCAAATTCAAGATCCAGCAAAGGTGCTGCTGTCTTAGAAATTACCCATTTAACCTTCGGCTTCATCGCTTTTAGTTTAGTGCTTATTAAAATACCTAAACCGCGATAATTTCCAAAATTCCGGGAGAAAAACGGGAAAATTGCTAATCGAGATTTGCTGGTCACCATGGAGATGATTTGGAGATTTGGATGAATTTATGCCCCTTGGGTAGCACCTGGATTTTTTTTTGAAATCAGGGAATATCAGCGAATTTTGGTTGAGTCGACACCCTGTGAGCATTAGCTTCTATCAACACCTGGGCAAACTCGTTAGCAAGAGTTTTGAATTGTCCAACTCTTCAATAAACATTATACGATAACCTTACTTATTCCAATGGAATCGCTATGGTATGAGTTTCGTAAGCCTTATTATAAAAATATCATACGAGAAACCCTTTCTAGAAGGACCATTCCAAAATGACTTAGTGTCGTCTTGTATGGCTCTTAAATATAAGTACTTTTTTGACTTGGTATTTAAGTATTAAAATGGTCGTTTGGATCCCAAGTTACCTAAGATCTTCCGTAGAAGCTCGTACGAATAGTTTAGAATGGTTGAGGGAGAAGTTAAGGAGAAATTGAATAAGATTTTCCTAAATAGATACTCAACCCTTTAATGATATACCTGAAAAAGGTCTTGTTAGAAATTTGTGCAAAATACTCCAAAGATGTTTCTGAAAGGTCACGGAGGTTTTTTTTCTTCTAGAAAGGCTCTTGAATACATCAGTTCATTGGGCCCATTTATAAGAACTGTTCTCAATATAATGCGAGATATTCTTAGAACTATCTTTATTCCTTTTTTGAAAGATAAGGCTTGCCCTATAAAAAACATAATCGAGCAAATTGACGTACAATTTATGTGTTTCTGGACCACTAATTTTAACATGATTCTACAAGAAATAATCTCAGTAGCGTATACATAGAAAGTCATCTGAATTTTCACGTAGAAATAATGTGGTTTTTGCAGTGTGTGATGGTAAAACTTAATCCTAAGAATTATCTAATAACACTGCGCAACAAGATTCTAGGACAGCCTTTTTTTTTGCTGTTTTTGACGTTCTTGTAGTCTCCTGAGTTCTAGTCTAAAATATACTTTAACCCTAACGCGTCACGTTTTTTATGAGACTATACCGGTATACTCTAGGCTTTAACCGAAGACAACAAATCAAGAAGACTGGCAACTCTTCCATTTTCTCACACGAGCGCTATGAGACACGTGCAATCGCGTCATCTGCCGCTCAAAGGTAAATGCTTCGAACGAATTTGATAGCAAAGATTAGATCCTCAGAAAAAGGGTTTGAGTATTTGCTCATTTTTCTATGCGTTGCTTCCAACTTCACTCAAGCGCAGCGCCATTGTATCTGTCGCTTGGATTCTGGCAAAGTGGCCAGTCTTCTTGATCTATTGTGGTTCGCTTTAACTCAAGGAACCACAATAGAGTCAAATATGGTTAGATTTGTCTGTCCTTTAAAAAATAAATTCGAATTTGCCGCGCAGTGTAACTGTGCGGTTCAAACAGCTATTTTTAAGTAGACTGAATTCATCGAAAACCGTTTCCGATTGCCGATAAGATTAACACACTTTCACCATTTTTAGGCCCAAATACGCCCTGTAACGCAAACCATCGTAACCCAGAACAGTATGGTCGGTCAGACGCAGATCCGAATGCTAACGACGCAGTCGGGCACGACGACCGTACCCCGGATAGGACAGACGACGATACGACCGGCCGCACCCGTGCGGATACAAACACCCGTCCACCAACAGCACCTGCATACGACCACCACCGTTGCCGCCAGTGGGCCCCGGCAAATCACCGCCCAGCAGATACGACCAAATGCCACGGCCACCGTAGGCCATACTACCATCGTGCAAACGAACCAACAGCTGCCTCAGACGATCTCAACGACACCCCCAGCGCTGCTGCCGGTAAGTTCCCATACCCTATCATCCGTCAACTCTTTTCCCGAGTGTGAATTACGCACACTGTGTAGTAGCAACACCACTTTATTGCAAAACATGCCATAATTTCTGAATATCCTCCTCATCCCTAGTCCCACGTTCCTCTCACAGCAGTTTCTCAGAGAAATTTAGTATCATAAACAATTCCCTTCTTTTATTGTATTGTTGAGTAAGAGTTGCCAATCCTTCCCTTGTTAGTTATTATTGTTGTTGTTGTTGTTCTTGTTAGAAGAAACGGTTTGAGTGCTGTTTAATTTTCTTTATTTTACTATGTCCTTCGTTGCCACTATTGTTTTTTCCTTCTCTATTTAGTGTAATCAAAATTAACATACCCCCGCACTGACTTTTGTACACAGACACCTACAAACACACGCATTCAATATTACCCAAAAACACACGTGGAAGAGCTCGCTTTCCTTTTATTATCTATTTACAAAAACCGGAGATGTGCAAACTGCTTGTCGGATTGTTCTGTTGTTGTAGTTTGCATATCTCGAGTAACTTACAGTAGAAACGAAAAGAAATTAATGTATGATCCTCGCTTGTGCTTATTAAACTTTGTAGAGTTGTACTTGGTAAAAAAAAAATGCGAAATGCATCTTGGATTGGAGTTAAAAAGTTTTACAAAGCCCCATTAATTTGTAACGATTTCCTTTGTTAATAGTTATAGTTAACTTTTATTATTACTACAGTAGAGTTTCTAGCTTCGTTTCACACATATTTTACAGTACGTTTTTTGCGGAGTTCGACTATTAATTGCTGTTACTTGCTGCTGGACCATAACGGAACGCTGTTTATAGAACAAAATACGTTTATCATACCTTTCTTCAGTAAACAAATATAATGCATGACGCCGGTTTATTTCGTTGCCCTTAAATTATACTGTAATATTGTTTTTCAATCACTTACTTATTACTAATAGACGGATTTTAAGCAAACCAATATTTATAATTAACAAACTTTTTTTACAATTAATGGACATAATCGGTTTGAAACGCTTTTAACCTAGCCGCCCTAATCTTTTAATTTTTCCCAAACATGTAAACAGTCAACAGTATCAATCTGCTAAAACGAAAACCATTCTTGTAAACCAGAAAAACCAGAAACCTTGTTTTATATATACTAGGACTTTTTTTTCTCTCTGCTATGGTAGTTGGTGATGGTTCAGGAACGAAACGATATCGTAATATTTATCATAACCAAACAATCTGGAATCTTTGCTCGCGAATTTGTATAATTTTGCTGTGTTTTGCCGGTTTCTTTCCTCTTATTTTCAACCACTTTATATCTGCATGATCCTCCCCTTAAAAAATAAAAAGAATTCCCATTGGATGTGAAATGTAAAAAAAAAATCTGATTTCATCCCTTAAATTTCGTTACTGCATCCCAGTTTATGGTACCTAGTCAATGGACACTAAATTTCTCTCTGCTGGACTCTCTGAAACTTGTAATTTTGTATTCATTTATATCAAGCTATACATTATCATCCCCTCGAATCTGAATTGCTAGTAACATGCGCAAATAACGTGCAAATCAGTGGTAGGTTATCCTTTAATAAGCATCACAGTAAAATTTATGTTTGAGTACATTTTTAAAGATGATAATCTTTGCTGGTATCAATCGTGCTTCTTTGGAGGTTAGGTTAGGTATGGGAATCTCGAATGAAAATCTCATGTTCTCTGTTGGATATTACTTCAGATTATGATTTTTACAACATCCGTCCTACCTGTACGGACCTATCAACCCATGCTCTATAAGTAGTGGTACTGAAATAAGCTTTATGTTTTAAGTGAATAGATACCACCCAATAATTGTCATTGTAACATACACTGCACAAACGTATAGAATCCTGTAGGGAAAAATCTGACGGAAGTCCGCAAAACTCCGCCATTTTTGGCAAAGTTCAGTGTTTTTCGGAAACCGGAAAAAAGCTCACATTTTGCACTTCGTTGCATTTCCACGACTGCGGTTCAACATTTCACTAAGAATTCAAATAACGTAAACAAACTAACTCATACCGTAGACAACGGTAAAGTCACGCACAAAGCTGGAACATTTTGCTCTGTGGCAAGTGTTGGCAGTTTATGTGAACAAAACGAATCACGTTGCCAAATCGTCTGATGATATTTCCGTGAATATCTCTCGAGTAACATTTGAAATGGGCCTATGTCGAAAACGTAAACAAATCGGATTTTGATACCATTCTTTAGCACCGCTTGATAGCCACTAATCGTGTAGGAAAATTCCGCATAATCGAGAAAAATCATTAAAAATAACTCGATTTTCGAAATGGCCTATCAAGGAAATTTTTCGATTCATTAATAGGCCCGCACGCTTAAACGGCCAACCATTAATTTATTTTATTTCATCGATAAGCCTAGTGACGTGATGATTGATAATTTTCAAACCAAAGCTACTTAGGCCCTACTGGTTGAGGCAGGGCCGATGATTTGTTTTGAATTTATTTGACGTTGCGAAAAGGCTTAGCATAAAATTCGTGATGACAAGCACAACGGCTTAACAAAAAAGGCCTATCCATGGAAAGATTCACAAAAAGGCTTATTAATTTATGAAATTAAATTGTTATCGATTTTCATATATTTTTGAAAGCTTTTCGCATATTTGGAGGTTGTATACTGAGATACAGTTACTATTGTTATTGTGAACAATATAAATGCCCAAAATACTACAATTTACTGTGGCCGAAAAAATTAAAATTCATTTTCTGGTTTGTTTACGTTTTAGACATAGGCTCATTTCAAATGTTACTTTAGATCTGTACAGACTTCTCTGACGTTTGTGGAATGCACAATTATTAGTGCAGTACTTTGGGTAAATTATAAGTATTAGTGCAAGAAAACCTTTGAATTTACCCAAAGTTCTGCACTAATACTTGTGCAATTTACAAACGTCAGAGAAGTCTATGCATATAAGATTACTATCTATAAGCTGCACGATATGTCATTCACTCATTCATGGGGTATGGTACATTTGGCTTAATTTACACTTGGCATAATGGACATTTCGCTTAATTCCTTTTGTTCCTCATAATTTAGAAACCAAGAGCTAATTTACAATCTTCTATTATTCCTTCCTTTGATTGCTGCTCTTTCACAATATACACGTTCTTTCATGGTAATTAAAAGCTTCTGAAGAACTGCTCATGTTTGAAAAATATTCCAAGCGCTCACGCACAATCGTTGAATATTCAAAGAAGAAATACCTTTGTTAAATATTTGAAGAGAGAAACATTCTTATCTTTATGAAATATTTTCACAATTAGAGATATGTACAATTACAACTTAATTAACTTTTAGTGTCAATAATCTTAGATTCGTATCGATTATACCAAGTGCCCGTTATGCCAAATGTTTATTTTGCCAAATGTACCAGACTTCTTCGTGCATGTATTCACCATGAGCCGCTGGGTGTACCTCTGCTGCAAAGTCCAGCTGAAATCTAATCGAGCGCTTGCCTGCAGATTTAGTTTTTACCTCTTCGTAGTGTGTGGTCGATCCATCGGGATAGGAACAGAAGGCCGAACATGTATGAACCTACCTCAAATAGCCGAAAATGTATAAATCTGCCACAAAAAGTCGACAAAATGTATCGTTCGGTTCATGAAAAATATTGCAATGTACGACATTCGGTGCATTTCTTATATGAACTAGTAGTTAAAAACATTTGAAGTGCACCAATGGCAAGTTTTTCGTGACATTTTAATATTGAAAAACATTGACTTTAAACTAGTTTCATTTAGCGGAATTTCTGTTTAAGAATATTCGGTTTACAATCCTTCATTTGGCAAACTTTGACCTAGCTCTTGTTGAAGTATTACTCATGATTAGCCGATAAGAAATTAAATCGAAGTAACTTTCCTTTTACTACGTTTATGACACAATAGGTCATGCAGTGCTGCAAAATCTCGGCAATCCACGGTGATATTCACAATGCTGCTTTGGTCACTCTTTTAAGCTAACAGTCATCGTCAAGGCAAACCATGTCAATTGTCAGTGACGAACATGTGTAGATCTACGTCCTGAACTGCTTGGATATCAATAATGTGACACAGAACGCACGAAAGTACACTTTTTGTTATCAGGTGAATCTTTGTCATTGACCAAAAATGAATGAGATTTTGACGAAGGTTTTTTTTTTGGATCAAGTCTGTCAGTGACTATGTAAAAAACAATATTTTCAATTTCGCGCAAAAGTCTGTCAGTGACAATGGCAAATATCAGCACTGGAATTATTTTTTGTTTATTAATTTATTTGATAAGGCTCAACCGAATTAACTTTACAGAGCCAAGGATTCTTGGTCACTTTACAATACAACTTAAAACTATAGTCAAAAGGTACAACACAATAAACACTTTATCTTCCGCTATCCAAAAAGCCTCCTCCATCATAACTGGAGCCGCTTCCAGTAGTTTCATTGTATCGCAAATTGTTGTACGCCAACGATGGTCAGAGCGCGTCCATTGCAGCAATGGACGCAAAACGTGGTCAGCACTCACACACTCATCACGAAACGGTTGCTTTCCAAAGTCGACGACGCATCGACCGAAAGAACTGCTGATGAAGAACAATGAGGAGGACCACACAATGGTTGCTGCCGAGAAAACAGACGATCGCGTAGCACACATCGAGAGTGGCCTGCTTTTGTCGACAGCCGAGTGAACACTGTACTGGAATTATGAACTGAAAAATAATTTATAAAACCCGGGATTGGTGCTTAAAACATGCCAAGATCTAAGCATATATATTTTTGTGAAACCCTGAGCCTAAAACAGATATAAATTATGTCCAACGAATTAAAAACAATGTTTAAGAATTTTTGTCTTTTTGTTTTGCTAAATATTAGTTCATAACATCAAACATCACACAAAGGCAAAAAAATCGGTCGGGTGGGCCGGCGGGAAGCGCGCGCCGGTTCGGCCTTTCGTAGTAATCCCGATTTCACTTTC